AGTCGGACACTTCGTCCATTGACCAAAACGGGGATTCCGAAGATGGGATGGCAGCAGGTGATAATTCTATCGGAGGAAACGGTGCCGATTTACTTTCAGAAAGTGGAAAATCTTCAGATTCGAAATCTGTGTCACCAAAATCGGAACTTTTATCAGGAAAAAACTTGACATTTTCGCCAGAACAAGTATCGTGTGTATGTGAGGCTTTACAACAGAAAGGTGACATTGAACGGTTAGCTAGATTTCTGTGGTCGCTACCCCCTAGTGAATTATTACGGGGGAGCGAGGCAGTGTTAAAGGCACGGGCCACGGTGTCGTTTCATAGAGGAAATTACCGAGAACTGTATGCTATTCTTGAAAGTCACACCTTTGAAGGTTCGAATCACAATTTCTTGCAACAACTTTGGTACAAATCTCACTATATGGAGGCCCAGAAAATCCGAGGTCGACCTCTGGGAGCCGTTGATAAATATAGATTACGCAGGAAATATCCCCTGCCCAAAACTATCTGGGACGGGGAAGAAACCATCTATTGTTTTAAAGAGAAATCGAGACAAGCTTTAAAGGAGTGTTACAAACAGAACAGGTACCCGACCCCCGACGAAAAACGAACCCTGGCCAAAAAAACTGGGCTGACTTTAACACAAGTGTCGAACTGGTTTAAAAATAGAAGACAGAGAGATCGCACCCCACAGACACAGCCCCACCCTCAGTAAGTTACATTTAGTTACTCTATTATACCCTACAGTTAAACAGTTCTACAGAATTGTACTTTTATTATTTGGTAGTGATGCAGAAACACATTGAAAATTTTAGATATACCCGATTTTTATCTTTGCACAGGTATAATATTAATTACAATATGGGTTCTATATGAATGAATAATTTTATTGTATTAGCATATTATGTGCATAACTTAATGCTTAAGCATATGATTTTATACATACATAATATAAGCTTTGTAGCTTAAACACAATTGAAAGAAAGTAGATCCCAGTGTTTCCGGTAATGCTAATGACATTCTAAGTTGATTATTCTTAAACATTTTCAAACTTGACGTTATGAAAACAGAGTAGAAGTCAATATCGACTAACCTTCCTTCCCAATCCATAATATTTTATCTTCTCCTCTTGAATACCAGAGTCGTCTCATGTTATTTTGTATATAACTTGTTATTATTCAGTTATACATTTGTTATTCAATATTGTACACAATTGATGAATATTCATGAACTTATCGGCAGAGCAATCTCTACTAGAATTCTAATGTACTATTATAGCATACAAGCCGTTGCCAAAACCCATTGTGGGCTGGGAATTGGGATTTGTGCAAGAGGGATTAATAATATAAATAATTTCAGCAATTATATAGAATTGAAAATTTGAAAATTCCTACCCCAGAAAAAGCAACAATGTGTGACAAAGTGTTGTGAATAATTGTTTGTACTTGACTACACTGCATAATCCCATTTTTTTCTGAGGATTCCATGTTTAAAACCAAGAATGCTGAATTGTTATATATTTACTGTTAATATTCAGATATTCTGTTGTGTGGAATGGATAATATACATATTATTTATAAATTATATTATTTATTCAGTTTCACAATAATTCATATTATTGAATTATTCAAATTTATCCCGAAATACGTAGTATTCATTCTGCGTAATTCATATGAATTTTGAATTGTTAATAATTCACATCCATCTTGGATAATTCAGATTTATTGGAATATAAATCTTGAATAATTCAGATATGTCCCGAATAAAGATTTATCTAGCAAATAGATAATTCAGCTCTACCTTGAATAATTCAGAAATATCTGTATATAAATCTTGAATAATTCATAAATAAAGATTTATCTTGAAAAATACATATATATCTTGAATAATTCAGATATGTCCCAAATAAAGATTTATCTTGAAAATACATATACATCTTGAATAATTCAGATATGTCCCAAATAAAGATTTATCTTGAAAATACATATATATCTTGAATAATTCAGATATGTCCCAATAAAGATTTATCTTGAAAATACATATATATCTTGAATAATTCAGATATGTCCCAATCTTGAAAAATACATATATATCTTGAATAATTCAGATATGTCCCAATCTTGAAAAATACATATATATCTCGAATAATTCAGATATGTCCCAATAAAGATTTATCTTGAAAATACATATATATCTTGAATAATTCAGATATGTCCCAATAAAGATTTATCTTGAAAATACATATATATCTTGAATAATTCAGATATGTCCCAATAAAGATTTATCTTGAAAATACAAATCTATCTTGAATAACTCAGATATGTCCCAATCTTGAAAAATACATATATATCTTGAATAATTCAGATATGTCCCAATAAAGATTTATCTTGAAAATACATATCTATCTTGAATAACTCAGATATGCCCCGAATAAAGATTTGTCTAGCAAATAGATAATTCAGCTCTACCTTGAATAATTCCCAAATATATTTAGAAACTTGTAGATATATCCTGAACAATATCAAAATTCAGATTTTTCAGATATTCAACAAATATTTTCAGTCATTCAGATATTCCTTATTTATTCAGATTTGTCTTGAATAATTCAGATTTGTCTTAAAATAAACCAATTTCTTGAATAAGTCAAGTTTTTTTTTTATAATTCAGATTAATGCCAAATACTAAGTTTTTTAGATGACACAATTTTTTTCTATGGAATAATTCACAATGTGAAAAATGTGAATTGAATATTTAATTTAACATTTTTAATGGTCAGAATACCTAATAACGGTTTAATATGAAATATAATATAGTATATTAGTAGATACTGGTCATATTGTCATACTGGCCAAATGTAAGTCTGTTTCTGACAATTTCTATCTAGAATCTTAATCACAAAACCTTTTGTAAAACGACGCCTGATATTTAACAGTAAATAACCTAGCTCAATATTTGCTCAGTGCAACAGTTGGTTATGTTGTTACTTGCTGATCAATATATCATCTATCACAAATTGCCTTACTACGATTTTTTTCTAAGGGATCATATTTCACATTTTGTACCCGGGCTTCCACACTACTCTCAAAAGCACTTGTCGTTTACTACGTAAACCAACGATTAATTTAACGTAATTGACCGATTACTAATTGATTACTGATTAATGATTTTGATGTTAGAGATGATATTTTATATATCTGACCGTTTTATATATTATAAGCTTGAGGTATTCCTTATCCCAAAAGCATTGGTCATGTAATTCTAATATAACCAGGAACAGTTTGTTGTAATGCTAAATGTTGATCTTGTAATCATTCCAATAAAACCTTTGGTTGTAAAGGATCATATTTACAATACTCTACAAAACAGAGGACATACCACTCGCTTCTGAAGTTTTTTTGGTACATTCAATTGTTAAGAAGCAGTATCAAACCCGATCTCAGTAAAATGAAACCCATATGAGATGTTGACAGGTTTATTTGTCATCGATTTAACTCAGTTTTAAATTTCACAATATTAATATTAATACCACAATATCAAATATCAAATTAATATTCCATATACTTCATCATTAATATTGTTCAGATTTTTTAATATTGCCCTGGTAGGTTTTTTTAATATGATATGATCACGTAGTCAAAAAAGAGTGTAAATGCCATTTCAGTCGCTTTATATATGGCCTTTATATAACTTTTTAAGAAATACTTAATTTGACTTTTGACTTATGGGTTTTAATAAAACATGATCAACAGTCAAAAAGGACGCAAAACTCGATTGCAATTGCATTCTTCAGGTCTATATAAAAATGTTTTTTATATTGTTGTAGAGGAGTATTTCATATCATCCAAGGCTGTAGGACGTAAAACTCGAGATTTAAAGCTCTGCTTAATATTAGTATATATGTAATTAAATACATTAAATTTCCATATACAAATAGTAGGAATAGTGATCTAAATATCTGCTTTCCAAGTGATAGAGCTCAATTCTAGCTATGCATATCGCTTTTCAGATTGCAAATATAAGGCACAGTTCGTCTACAATTTCTAATTTCATTTTCTGGATTTAATTATGATCTATAATATTATACATGACATAATGCTGTTCATAGACATATTCAGTAAAAAAATCTATAATATAATTTTATGCATAGACATATTCAAGCTGTCAAAACCCAATGAGGACCTACACTTATGATGACATGGTTACAGTGTCAAAATCGAGGATAAAGCAAATAGGTAAATATAGAGAAATAAAGAGATTTGGAGGGAAGATTTGAGATTTGTCGAGTTGATAAGCGAGGTAATTAAGTGGTTTATTGGGTGATCTTATCTGGCAATTCAACCATAGAACGATACTGTAACAATCTTCTATTATACATTAACAAAACACTCTTTCAACACAGGCTTATTTATTGCATTTGAAGGGCAGTCCCTTGTAACAGGGTTAAGAGAATCATTAAGCAATTCTGGGGAAATAGATGAAAATAATTCAAGGTGAGAAATATGGTGTTCTTTCATTTTAAACCTGCTCTTTAAGAAACACTTTGTTACGATGCAAGTTACCCAGTAAAAAGGTTGGGAAGAGGATTTCCAGTTTGTGGTTTTTTTGACCATTTATAGGCGTTATATGCATCAGTAGTAGTTGCTGAAATTGTAGAATGGCCCAACTTATATGACGTCAACAATTACTAGCATCTTTTGAGATAGTGGCGTAATAACAAGAACAACAGAAGTCTGATTGACAATTTGAATGGCGCGAATCGATGCTGTCAGTGTCCTCGACATACATAAAAAAGCTAAATAAAAACTCCTTCAAACAATTTTAAAGATCTATTTTAATGTTTTAGAAATCCATAGAGTTTTGCGTCCTACTGATCTGATCTAGTTCGGATAATTTAAAAGGAACTGTTTTATTGTATTTAAATTCCATGAAATATACCGAACAAAGCATGTTTACGTTTGTTCTCTCTTTTTCACAAAACAAAACGAAAGTAGATGATTTATAAAAAGTTAAATGATGAATAGTCATCAAACAATCTAAATACATCGGAACATGTTTTCCTACTTTCGATTTGTTTATGTTTGTATTGTTTCATAAAACAGGTATATGGTGTAACTTTTATCTGATTCAGACTAAACAAAGTTTAACAACAGGAAGCGGGATAAAGCATGTAGGTCTATATTCATACGGTCAGTTATCTAATAAAAACTATTTTGATTTTAACAATAGTTTTAACAAGTGAAATTTGATACATTACATCATAATGTTGTCTAGCTGACAAACTTTAAGACAAATAAATATTTTGTAATTTTGAATTTGAAAAACCAATCTGTTAATTGACGCTAGAAAAGTATTTCTAACCTAAAATTCGTAAAGAATGATATTTTGCAAATATTCAAATGTTGTTACAGTTTGTCAATTTTTTTCGGTTTATTATTTTTCATATCTGGTACCGTATCTGAACAATTTTCATTACGCAATGTTAGAATATGTTTACTATAATGCCTTATCTCACAGCTATAGGACTACAACCACCCTCTTCTTACACTAATGATAAAATTTAAAACGTAAACGTAACAAAGCTAATTTGGTATTTTTTTACCGCTTTCATGAAATATTCATCAGAAACTGTCAATTCAGCAAAAAATAAAACCGGCCTTGAAATTCTCTCATAAAAGCTAGAAATTGAATCAATCGAAGGGATGGTCAACGGTCAAG